GGGAGCTGACCGCCTGGTTCAAAGAGGCAAAAAACCACAGCGTGCCCCTCAGCTGCTGCAAAGCCACCATCAGCAATTGCACGGGAAGCTTGGCTCGCCCTGCGGACCTTTATTCTGAGGTGAGCGACTTCTCTTCATTTTGCCGGGTTTTCGATCCAAGCCGATGTTGAGAAGGAGGCTAAGGGTTTGGTGCGAGACCAGCCCACTCCAAGTCCAAATCTTCGTTCAAATCCCGCACAATAACCCATGCCATCCAAGCTTGTAGCTCTGTTAGTTAAGGTCCAGTGGTTTAATTAGAAATCAAGTGGTCATTCATATCCAGGTTGGGCATGCTGTCTCTCTGGTCTGATGGGCTTCGTTCTTTTAGAGGACTTAATATTTTTTTGATAAGCTCTTTATAAGAGGCAGCATTCATTGCTGTTTTTCCACTGTTGCCCATTCTGCTACTGTTCCAGCCCTTTTATAATATACTGCCAATAAAACTTCCTTTTATGACCTTAATTCGGGGCAACTCAGTGGAGACGAGCATTTACTAGCCCGATGCCCTTCCTGATGCCTATATGCAGAGTCCGCAGCAGATATTTTATTTCATCTGCCACTACCTTGGATTGAACTCCCAACCTTCCTAGTGGGAGGCGAGCATCTTCACCACTAGGCCACCATGCCGCCCTTATAATATACTACACACAATGTAATTCCTATATGCTGTGTTGGTGTATGAGGACAGTAATTACATTTGCTTTCTATTAATTTTTGTCATTGTATTAGGAAGTGTTTTGCCTTATTATATTTTACTAGTACCTCTTTATCTTTTGTGTGTGTGTGTCTTTTCCTTTATATTAATTACACTGCATGTTTTTTTAATTTACAACAGTTAGAAACGACTGCCGCTACTGCCTTCATGTATACAAAAAATACAATAGAATGTACGTTTTAGACTCCTTACAGTCTGTATGAACTGTTGCCTTCTGGCAGAAGTTACAGAACAATTAAAACTCGGACCTCGTGTTTCCCGAACACTTCTTATCCCAGAGCTATAATTGCACTTAACAATGAACTTAAGGACCACCATCAGTGAGCTGTTGGACAGGATTACTTGGTCTGTTGTGTGGATGCTTGTGTGTTTTTAGGGGGCGGGGAACCTTGGGTGGGGGTTTGGGGATTGTCATGTGTGTGCGTGCAGGTGTTGAGTCTGGTCTCTGGGTGTTACGTGATTTTCATTGTATGTATACTGTGTAGATACGTACAATGACAATAAAGAGTTCAACTTTATAAATCACGTGGATATCAAAGCGTTTTTTGAGATTGCAGCTGTTCCAGGATGCAGCATTAACAAGCTTGAAGATTTGTTTCCTCAACTGATGGACTCCTTTGCGTTTCAGGGATGTAAAGTCTTGGTAGTAAAGAAGCTACAGGAGATCATGATGTATGTTATCTGGGCTGCCTTGGCGTTTGCTGCTATTCAGGTAGGATTCAACCCTCTGGCTTGTTCTCCTGGGGTTAAAAATACAACCATTTTCTCCACTTGCATAAACGCCCCTTGAAAAGCCGCAAATAGATAAGGCCGTTCCGCCTAGGACAGCTAATATTTGATGACGCTTTACGACTTTCTGAGCACAAGAAATCTAATGGCGTCCTTGTAAAAACATAAAATGAGGTCATTTCCAGGATTCACAGCTCACGTACGTTCCCTCAAAGTCCGTGTAAATAGTGCGTTGGACCCAAAGCGCACAAATATCAGGGCATTACAGCAATTGTATAAAAAAGAAAAAGCACCTTTGGGTGCTTTGGAAAATAGCTTGACCCCTTCCTCCTCTCTGGGGCAGCCCCTCAAATATTGGAAGACCGCTCTCCTCTCTCCCCTGGTCCTTCTCTTCACTTAGACTAGCCAGGCCCAGTTCCTGCAACTGTTCATAGTGTGTTTTATCCTCCAGTCCCCGAATCCTCCCGGTTGCACTTTCCTCTGCACTTTTTCTAGAGTCTCAACAACATTTTTTTATAGCGTGGTGACCAAAACCGGACGTGGTCTTACTAAGGTTTTATAGAGTGGTATTAGTACCTCCCCCTGATCTTGATTGTATCCCACGTTGTGTGCTTGCGTCCCCAGCCAGCTTACCCAAAAGCCAGTTTTTAGTTTAAATCGTGCCGGTCCATACTCAGTCTCCTTCTCTCCTTCCTCGTAGCTGCTGGGCATGCTCTGTGCCTGCATTGTGCTGTGCAGAAGGAGTCGGGATCCTGCCTACGAGCTACTCATCACCGGCGGGACTTACGCCTAGAAGAAGGTCCGCGGGCGAAGCTCGAAGTCTCGTTTTTCTGCACTCAACTTGGCAGCGTCCTCTGCCCTCCGCAGTAGTTCCCACTGACTCTGACTTGGCAGCCACAGTCTCTTTCCTAAACCTGGACAATTAGCCCCTACACCGGTGATGGGCATAGCTTGGCTTTCAGTCCCTTCCATATTACCGACTCCTCCTCCTTTAGCCAGCTTCCCACTTTATCCATGGTAGCCACTGAGTAACACGAGGTTTTTGTTTTCATTTTTTAATCCATTTCATTTTAAATGGCATGAAAGCTACGGGTGACCTAACTATATCTTAAAAGGGTGCAGTGATTTATTCTTATATCCTTCAGAGTTTATTGAGTGGCATCGCCGGTCAGAGTTGTACAAGGGAGGTCACTCATCTTAATTTTGTGGAGTTTAAGTCTGCTGCTGCTTGCCTCTCACCAGTATTTCTTGTCTTGTTTCTTTTTTTAAAGAAAGCAAAGCATTAAGTCCAGTCCAGAACACTACGAAATGACGACTAATCGGAATTTTAGAATCCTATATTAGTGCATCTCTTGCCTTCCTTAAATTCAAATGAACAAACCTTCCGAACTTTTAGCGTGTTTAAAAAACAAAAACAAAAAAAAAACGAGCTGGCTTTTTCAGGAGTGTAATGTCTTGCACTACTGTTCTATAAGGAAATTTTCATTTTTTACTATAATGGATCTGTTTCTGTATCGAGTGACTTGTTATCCTAGAGTAGCGAAGTAGAATGTGATAAAGTGAAATGTAAATAGGAAAATAGGAAACCGAATTAAATAAATCTTCCGTAGATCTCCCCCAAACTAAACCGTGGTTACCCTTTTTTAATCGTTTTTGAGAGTTTTATCCAGTGCTGCGTATTGTACAATTAATTATACGGATGAATTTTAAGTCTGGGCCTGTCCTACCTGCACTAAAAGACCAAGAGGAACAGAAAAGTCAATTGAGGTTGGTTTTCCTTAGTTTGAAAATATTCTCCGCAATTAAGGTGGTCCTGCTTAGATAGTTAGTCCTCATTTCCACCAATATTGAATGAGAAATGAATTCTTTTTTTAGCAGAGCGCAGATTATCAGAGCTGATCATCCTTACTCATTAATCCTCTTAAATTCCCTGTTACCTGATCTGTGTCAGAGCGCTGGGTGGCTGTCAGTATCCGTTAGCCTCACCTGAAACATTAAGATCAGGGATGTCTAACCTGGTCAACTTCAAGACTTGTGGACTTCAGCTCCCAGAATTCCCCATCCAGTCATACATGAGTAGCTGGGGAATTCTGGGAGTTGAAGTCCACGAGACTTAAAGCTGCCCAGGTTGGACATCCCTCCGTTTAAACATTCTCCGTCCCATCCAGGGAGGTGGGAGAACATTGCAACCTTCAACGTAGAGTGGAGAAGATAAGCAATTGCGGACAGGTCTTCCTGAACCTCCCCTTTAAAACCTTTGAATCTGTTTTAGCTAAAGCGCAGCCACCTCCAAATCCTCCTGACGCCCAGGAAGACGTTTCCCGCTGGGCTTACGTGTCTCCTGTTTTAACGTCCCTTCGGCGGCCGTTTCCTCACTTGCGTGTTTGTTTGTTTGTTTTTTAACTCCATAGAAATGCGAAAAGACGGCCGCAGTTGGTGTCCCTGTCGAAAGATAAGCAGTCGACTAGGACCCCGATCGAGCTGGAGCAGCGGCATTTTAAAAGGTTTACGTAGGTAGTGTTCTCCCCCTTGGTTTTGCACCACAAAGTCAAGGACGTTGGCTGCAAAAAAACCACAAAAACCTATTGCAGCGAGAAATCGACAGTTTGTAAGAAAGAGAGAGGTATTTCCTGCCCCGAAAAAAACATCCTCCCTCTGGGTTTCTCCAGCTTAGCCGAGCCCCAGATTTCACAAATCCCTCTCGCTTCTGACAATGAGATCTGAAGGGCTTGCTCTTCTCCGTTGAAAGGCGGCGGTTTCATTCCCACGTCTGGGAGCCCACGTGACCAGACAAAGCCGCCGGCGGAGAGAAGGGAGGGGTGAAAGGTTGCAGCTTTCCCACGAGGTCCAGCCTTGGGGTTCACTCCACCCCCTGCAGCACGGCACTTTACCCCAAAGTAAAGGGTCTCCTTTGCAGGCAGCCCCCTCTCCTCCCACCATCCGTCAAATCGGTGACAAAAAAAACCCCGACAAGCCATCCCACTTAACTGGTTTTGGCGGTAAAGGGTGTCTTACCAGCGGCCTCTTCGGCATGAAGGAATCCGGCGGAGACCGAGGGGAGCCGGTTGCCTAATCAACTCCTTGTGGTATTAATAAGCAAGAAACAAGCTTGGTTACTAGAGGGGGATTGCAAGTGGGGTGAGGATGATCACACTTGCTCAAGGAAGAAGAAAGGACAAGGTCGTTGATCCTACTAGGGTGCTTTCTGGAGAATTCCCTGCGTAACACACATACGGGTAGTCCTTGATTTAGGACAGGCTGCGTAATGACCATTTAAAGTTAGAACTGACCCCAAAGCAGGTACTTACAACTAGGGTTTAAAGTTGTGACGCAGCCCTCCACAATCACATTAAAAAAAATATATAGGGAGGGGGTCATTTACAACAATTTGCAGTTGACGACAGTTACGTGAAAACCGGCATTTTTGTGGAACTGCCATCATTAAGTAAGGGGTAGCCAATCTTGGCCGGCTGGGGAATTCTGGGAGTTGGAGTCCACGAGTCCTTAAAAGTTGCCAACTTTGGACACCCCTGAGGTGGGCAGTTAGGAACCAGATGATTTGGAGGAGGGGGTCATAAATGGCCACTGCAGTTACAGGTTGCAGCATATAAATAAGAGGTGTAATAACTGAATATTAACTCCTGCCATCATTTCTGCCCACCAGTGCGTTCAAACTGAAACATCGTATAAAAGGTCTTGACAATATTGAATGCAACAAAAGAAATCTCCGGAGAGATCTTGTGATTATTATTATTATTTTTTTGAAACTTCCTTTTCTCGATTTGGGGTCAGATTGTCAGCTGCTAAAACTTCAAATGTTGCTCGTGTGTGCACTGCTAGAACAGTTTGCAGATGCATTTTCTGCGAAGAGCTGAGAATCTCGAGACGGTAGCATTTAGGACGGATCCACCCGCCCTCCGCTCCACCCTGAATCAAAAAAGGCATTGCAACCCTAGAGAAAGGATGGTTTGTAAGTCCGCCGTGGTTTCACCCAGAGCGAAAAAGAAAGGAAAGCGTTGTTTCTGGAATCAAGATCTTAATCATTTCAAAACATGCACTTTAATCAATCATTTATTATAAAGTCCACGGTGTTTCTGACTCCACCAACGTCATTGGAGCATGGCAAAGACAGTTTTGGGGGCGGGAAAAATTGCCGTGTAGAAAACCGGTCAAGGTTCTACCAAAACATTGATGGGATCGGACGGGTAGCTGGATTTAACAAGGCAAACAAAAACCTTTGGGAACATAACATTTCTAGGGTGAGAACATCAGCACAAGTTTGGATGTCTTTTCTTTGATAATTGTCCTTCCAAAAAAAAAAAAATTAAGAGGCAGGGTGGCGTTTATGTTAAAATAAAGAGTATAATTGTAGCTCTTCGTCTGCCACGTGCAAAGAGGAAAAAACTTGATTTTTTTAAAAAGAGATTTCTAGCTGATAAAAAAAGGTAGCGCTCGGGAAAGCACGGTTCTTCCCATCAAAGTCTCTCCAGATAGGAGCCGGGCACAAATCCTCGCTGCCCATCCAGTTCTACGGTCCACCAGCCATCCTCGCCGGCTTCAATGATGTTGACAATATCACCTGCTCGTATGTCCAGCTCGTCCTCGTTCTAGAAGAGGGATAATGGAAAGAAATGGAAAAAAAATCTCTTCAGGTAAGATGCAACGGTTAAGATGGAATGAACATGCAGGCAGTCCTGGACTTGCGACCACAATTGAGTCCCAAATTTTCATTGCTAAGCGAGACAGTTCAGTTCGTTTTGCCCCATTTTATGACCTTTCTGGCCATAGTTGTTCAGTGAGTTGTTAAAACTAGACTAGAGACAACGGTTGCGTGAATCTGGATTCCCCACTGACTTTGCTCGTCCGAAGGTCACGAAAGGGGATCGCAGGACCTCAGGACACTGAAACCGTCATAAATATGAGTCAGTTTCTCATCTGAATTTTTTGATCACATGACCAGAGGGATGTTGCAACAGTCATATAAGTGTGGAAAACGGACGTAAGTGTGGAAAACAGTCATAAGTCACTTTTTTCAGGGCCGTTATAACAAGTTGAGGGCTATCTGTAAAAATCAAGCTAATTTGGAGTCTTCAGGATAACTTAGAATGATGATATACGTTCAGAGTAACTTAGAAGTATTTCTCAGTATATTCACACTGAGAATCTATCTGCGGAAAAAAACCCCGCATTGGCAACAGGAAGGGCATCTGGCCAGTAAACACCCAGCTCCATTCAGTTGCCGAGACTCCACCCCGCAAGGGATTATGAGGTCATTAAAGAAGGAGAGTAACTTTCAGTGATGATCCCTGAGAGTTACTCCGGAGTAACAAATACTCTTTTGTTTAAGGACGCTGCCTAAACAAGGATTTGAGGCTTACCTGGGCCGTGTAGTCATAGAGAACTCTGTAATCATGGTCCACAGCAGTGTTGACGTCCACGTGAATTGCTGCATAGACGCCGTCCGCCCTTTGATCAGCTGCAAAAAAAAATAAAAATGGAATTAACTCCTGGCAGAATCGAAAAAAATTTTTTTTTACCCAAGCTCCAAAGTTTTATATCTTTTCCAGCCCGAAGTCCAGAGAATGTATTACAACGGCGTCACCATTCCTATTTCTAAAATCCGTCTGTTACCGCCTAGGTGGTGCCACCTAACACAAACGAACTATTTCTGTTTCTAAAAATTTCACCAGCTGCTACTTTGGAAAAAAGAAAAACCAGAGATATTTAAATAAATAAAAAAGAAAAAAGCACATTTGAAAGGCGACAGATCTGTTTCAGACAAACTGAATTCTGCCTTTCTTTTCCCAAAACCAGGTTGGCAAGTTCTCCATCCTTAGAAGTTTCTGCACTACGTTTCCTGAAAATTGGTCTGTTGTTAGGATGGCTCTATGTAGTTTCCAGAAAGGTGGGGGAGGCTTAGGGAGATGGGCTTAGCCCAACTTGAAAGCCAAAAAGGAAAAGGAAAAAAAAAAGAAGAATTTTTGGATATTCCCACAGAGCCAACACTCCACCCCTTTAGCAGAACCTGATTTAACACAAGGATGCTGGGACCTAAGAAATTCCTGCATTTGTCCCTTGGAAAAGCCAACCTTACCAGTTGGGGTTATTGTGGAAATAATGTTATCCGGAGCATTTCGGGTGCTGCCATGCAACAAGTCGGAGAACCTGTGGATCAATAAGAAATAAAGAAATTTCGCCTTTTGGCCAAACACCTCATAGTGAGCAATAGGTTTGTTTAATGATTGCTGCCAAAAAATGGTTGTAAAATCAAGTCAGTTCTATGATCACCCCGCTTTACGACCTTTATGACTTCTGAGAGCCTTTCAGCGACACCACTCCCTCTCGATTTTCAACTAAGAGCGAAACTTGGCTCTGACGGACAAGATTTGGGACAAGGGAGACAAAACCAGCCAAGCTAGCAGCCCTAAAATGAAAGTCCGACTTTATTTTTTTTAATGTGCATTGCAACACACACACACACACATTTTGGCGCCACCTTTTTAACTCCTTCGTTAATGCTATTGCAACACGCATTGTCAGTGTTTGGATATTTTATTTCTGGCATGTGCCCCTCAGGGCTATTTTAGAGAACAGCAGCCATAATAAATAAATAAAAATGCATTTTCAGGCAGACCTTCTCTACAGCAGCTGGCCAAACACCACTTCAGAAGGTCACAGGAAGCGGATGGATGTCCCCACTTTGCCCTTCTCTCCTTAATTTAGCTCACGTGTCGGAAATCTTTCTTGGTTCTCACTAAAGGAAGGGAAACAGCTACTCCAAGGCAGCTTATGCGAAGTGGTGGAAAATTCAAATGGTGGAACTAAGTGCCAAAATGGAAAACAGCCATCCTAGTGACAATTTTACCTTTTCATCATTCCGCAACTCTGGGCTGTTGGGCTGTTGGAATTCTTCATGGGTCCAGTTCTCTCGTAATAATTCTCGTAGCCGATGGCAGCTGTTTCAGAAACAAGAAGAAGGGCAGAAAAACGTGACTGGGGTGGTTTTGGTGCACTCTGCGCTTCGTGTTTTTCTTGCAGCGTCTCACGACCCAGCTAGGTAACGCCATCAGTGATTTTCCACCACCACCCCCAGAAATCTCGTGCCGGTCAAGAATAAGTCAATCTTGTGGGCCCTAGTCAACCTTGTTTTCTTTAAAAATTTCCGCATTTAATCAGGGATAGAGTTTTCACCCTCTGAAAGACGGTTTTGAGCTCTTCTCCAAGAGCTCTCCCCAAATTCACAGCCAAAGATGGTCGTCCCAAGGTTAGGAGAGACTCAACTCAGCATCTTCTATAAGTGACAGTTTCCCCCTAGACCAGGGGTCTGCAACCTTAAACACTCAAAATGTCAACTAAAAAATACTTCTTTGGTCTTTTTAGTTGCCAGCAGAAAGCGAGGGGGGGGGAAGTAGGGCATTCCTTAAATGCTTCAGATAATTGCTAGGCAGGCGAAGCTGTTGGTGCACAAGATTATTACTGGAGAGCTATAATATACATCCATGGGGTGTGGGGAAGACCAGGGTCAAGGAGGAAATGAATGATGTATTTTAGTGTCGGCTGCAACCAGGAAACGCCAACATGGTCACTCTTAATAAATCTTTTTTTTTTTTTTTACTCTCAGAGATGCGGCTAGAGACTTATGATTTGAATGAGGGTGGATTTGTTGGAGCCCTGACACAAAGCCATTGGGAGCCATTTCCCACAGAAAAGAAAACATCGGGAGCCTCAAAACCTGGGTGGGCATGGCCAACTCAATGTCACTCCCACCCAGTCACATGACACACACACACACACCCGCCACGCCTACCCTGGTTTTGTGGCTCCTGGTGTTTTCTTGGGGAATGGGTCTCTCTCTCTCTCTCTCTGTCCCACTCCCTCCCTCCCTCTCATTTCTGTTTTTTTTGTGTTTTACCTTCTCAGTCCAGATAGGGAGGGAAGGGGAGGGGAGGGCGAGGGGCGTGGCCAGCCAGTGGTGGGATCATCCAACAAGGGAGCCACAGCACAGGACCCAAAGAGCCGCATGCAGCTCCAGAGCCACAGGTTGCTGACATTCACCCTAGACCAGAGGTCTCCAAACTTGGCAACTTTTAAGACTTGTGGACTTTCAATTCCCAGAATTCTCCAGCATTCTGGGAGTTGAAGTCCACAAGTCTTAAAAGTTGCCAAGTTTGGGGACCCCTGCCCTAGACCTATTTATTACGTTCCAGCTGTCATTCCCTTTTCAAGATACAATGAAGAAAACGGCAGTTCTGTGCAGAGAGACCTGGTGGTTCCGTTCCCGTCATCTTATTCTGAACGAAGGCGTTCATATCGGACTCCACGTTGCAGTTTTCCAGGCTTACCCGAACCTCTTCATAAAGCTTTGAAAAGAAAAGAAAAAAAAAGCGGGGCGGGGGGAGGGAAGGAAGTCAATTTATTTGAAAGGCGCTCTCGCTTATCGCTTTTAAAGCAAATTCTCTAGCGGTTGAACTGTTCGTAAGCCAAGGGCTACCTCCGCTGGGCCTTCTCTTACCTCGTCGTCTTTCACACACTGCATGGAGAGTTGATTGCAATGAACCCAGAGAGAATTCCGTAGGATAGTGATCCGATCGCATTCCTGAAGCTGGAAAGCCTAATTAAATAAGGGGTGGGTGGGTGTAAAGATCAATGGAATGGAATGGACTAGAAGAGAAGGGAAGGGAAGGGAAGGGAAGGGAAGGGAAGGGAAGGGAAGGGAAGGGAAGAGAAGAGAAGAGAAGAGAAGAGAAGAGAAGAGAAGAGAAGAGAAGAGAAGAGAAGAGAAGAGAAGAGAAAATGAATAGAATAGACCGGAATGGAATGGAGTGGAATGGAGTGGAATGGAATAGAATTAGAATAGAATAGAATAGAATAGAATAGAATAGAATAGAATAGAATAGAATAGAATAGAATAGAATAGAATAGAAATGGAACGGAACAGAACAGAACAGAATAGAATAGAATAGAATAGAAAATACAGAATGGAATGGAATGGAAAATATAGAATAGCATAGAAAATATGGAATGGAATAGAAATAGGAAAGAATAGAGAAGAGAAGAACAGTTGGAAGGGACCTTGGAGGTCTTCTAGTCCAACCCCCTGCTCAGGCAGGAAACCCTACACCATTTCCGACAAAGGGTTATGGATCCTATCATAAAATATAACACAGAGCTAAGCCAAAAAACCATGGTTTATAGACCAAAATTGGCCAGCTTCATGCAACAGGCTGAAGCCATAAACTACACTGATGATGGCTGATGATTGAACTGATAATAGTGAAATAAATATTCTATCAATTGCAATTCTTAGAATTTTATTTTGTCCCAAGCCGGGTGGTTTTTTTTTGTTGTTGTTTCAAAATCTTTGTTTTTCTTTGAAGACCTTTCACTTCTCATCCAAGAAGCTTCTTCAGTTCTGAAGAAGCAGCTTCTTGGACGAGAAGCAAAACATCTTCAGGGAAAAAGCCTTTTGAAAAAGCAACCAGGACCTGGGTGACTGAGGATCTCCACAGACCCAAAGCCAGAAGTTTCCAAACTTTCTCAACTTTCTTGGCACGCTTGGTATCTTTTGAGCTTTTAATGGTGCCTCCAAGCTTGTAATTTGCATGGTGTCCAACAGATGTCAAGTATTGCTGTATCATCCCGCAGAGTTTGGGAACCACGTCGCTAAAGCCAACCTCCGTAAAACATTCTATACCTTACTAGGATGGATGATGAAAAGAATTGGGATGCAAGCCAACTATGGCCGTATCTGAGAAGCAAATACTTGGTTGAACAAGCTGGTCATCTGTTGGGTGTTTCGAGAGAAGCCATGTTGAACGTGCCTAATTGTCCACCCTTGGATGAGAGGAAAGAGACCTCCAGTAGCATCTCACCATGATCAAGGTCAAACCTTATCAATTCTCTGTCTGATTGAACACAACAGCTTCTTACCTCGCAAGTACTAACATGTTCTTGTTCCCACGTGGTCCTTGTCTGGTCTAGTATCTCAATGTTCTGTTTATACACACTTTCTGCATGAGAAAAAGCAAAGCGGTGCAATTACAGAAGGGTTCGTGTTTGGCGGGTTCATTGATAAAGTGAGCCTATTCTGCGGTTCGTTGATATCGTGAAGTAAGAAGAGCTTATCTGGAGAAGATTCCTCCAAAATGTTGAATTGCAAGTCAGCCTTTTACTCTGTTTTTAATCAACAGTACAACTGTATTTTTGGTTTATTCAGATATTTAGTACTTGGAGCTTTACAGGTTAAAATGGAGGCCTGGAAGTGGCATCACAGAGATTCATAAAGTGTGTTTATCTTCTTGTTTTCATGGGTGCTTAAAAATGTTACCTGCTTCATTGGCCGAGTCTCTGGACTGTTTTGCTTTGGTCTGGCTCTGGAAGGTGAAAAAAAAGAACATTGGTATGGGAAGGAAGGAAAGAAAGAAAGGAAAGAAGGAATGGAAGGAAGGAAGAAATGGAAGAAGAAAAGGAGGAAGAAGAAAGGAAGACAAGGAGAGAAAGAAAGGAAAGAAAAAAAAAAAAGAAACTTGGAGATACCTTTTCTATTTGTTTCTGGTTCCCAGTAGCACTTATCCTCTCAAATGCCTGCTCAGCCTCGTCAGCATCTTTACATTTCTGATCGTAGGCCTTCTTGGACTGCGCGCAGAAAAATTTGCACAATTTACGGTCGTAAATCAAGGACTTCCCGTAGAAACATCTTACCCTCCAAGAGCGAGTTCCTTACCTCCATGGTTTTCTTGAACATTAAGAGCTTGTTCTTGTGTATTCGTTCCATTGTGCTCTCGTACTGCAAGAAGGATGGCATTAACTATCGTCATTGTTTGCCTTCCACAAGAGCTGGGAACCCAGCTGTCCAACTACAGGGGTAGGATTCAGCCGGTTTGTACTGGTTCGAGTGAACCGGTAGTCCCGGCGATTAGTTGGCAAATTGCGCGCTCACCCAACCGGTTGTTACACCAGTTGAATCCCACCGCCGTCCCAACTATTTATCAAAGTCCTATTCCCAAGGCAGATGTTCCAGGCTGGGGGCTCTACCGTTTTGGGAGGACCGCTCCAGGAAGAACCTTGGGCGTCCAAGGAAGTTCTTTGTGGAAATAAGGCAGGATCAACGAATCTTGAAAGCCTTTGGAGCCGCACCCAATGACCACCGTAAATTTGTTTAATAGATAAAAAGAAATCGTGTTGATTTGTTTTACCTGTGGAAGCTCCGCCTCACCTTTTTCCGTTGTTCCTTCTGCCTTTCTCGGAATTCTTCTAAGGCTTTTAGTTCCTCTCTCAACATGAGGGCCAGCTGGATATGAGAGTTGCCCACGCTTTCAATTTCTGTGGATGAAATGCAGAGAGTTCTTTTTCCTGATCTCTTGACGTGGAGCATTGCTTACCTGGGTTAAGGGGGCTTCTGGGGAGAGGGGGGCAACAGCATCAAAACACGGGAGCGTCCAGGTGATGGAATCCCTCTCCCTTTTTCGGGGGGCACGCTATGCGCATCCTACAGGTGAAAAAAGCCCCTGGCCTCCATTTTAATCCTCTAGACTCCTCTGAGACATTCTAAGCTAAGTGAACTTGAGAGGTCCTTGGTGGGGTCTCTGAGCCAGCTTGTTTTCTTGTAGACCTTTGATGACTCAGCTAGGTCACTTTATCAGTACTAGTAGAGAAAGGCGCAAACTCCACTCCCTTCTAGCACTGATGAGTTACCTAGTTTGGTAATGAATTGTCCGCAAGAAAACAAGAAAACTCAAAGAGAGCACCAAACAACCTTTCACGTCAACACTTAGCTACAAATATACTCCTTTATAAGTGAACTTAGTTCAGTGATTGCATTTCTAATTATTTACAAAAGCATTTAATTTATATACACAGAGTTAGGCAATCGGGTGCCTTCCAGATGTCTGAAACTTCAACTCCCAGAATCTCCTCAACCAATATAAGGGATTCTGGGAATGGATGTCAGAGGTTCAGGAAATCTGAGGGAAGACTCCAAAATGTGGCTGCCACAACACTGAGGCTTTATATCCTTTATATACAACTCAACAAAGTCCATTTTCCTCTCCTTCATTTCTGGGCGTCCCCTTTGCTATTGATAGCATTCTCCTACTCCGCCACTAGGGGGGGTACTAAAAGAGTACAGAAAACACTCGCTCTCTTCCACCATCTAGGTGCTAGCCTGAGTTCTGCAATTCAAATTGAATATGTGGTGAAAATTGGCCACTCCTTACTCAATCTTAAAGCCCATCAGCATAAAGTAGGAAGCTGTCTTTTCCTAAAGACTGTATGAATTTGTCCAGATTCTTCTCAAACTCTCTAAAACTCATTAATTTTGCTGCCAAGGGGAGTTAGAAATATCCCAAATAGAACTTGCTAATATACTTACGGAGTTTCAGGATTTCAAACGAGGCCTTTAAAGTGCTGAGGAGAGAGAACAAAACTCATCAATTTCCTTCCTGTCCAAAGTTTCGTCAAACTTGAAGTTCTCTATTACATTTCCAAGAACAGGAATGTGTCAACAGTTCTAGACACCCAGGCCTGGAGAAGACCACAATCCTACCATCCATAAAAGCAATTTTCAGAAAATATTCAAAGCCAGTTTTCAAATGTCCACCACCACAAGTATATGGTCAGTCTGTCTGTCTGTCTGTCTATCTATCTTTGGGCAACATCAAATTTCTCCATTACGTAAGACAAATGTGAAAATAAAATTTAAAAAAGTCCAAGAAAAGCCTTTAATCTGTCTTCTAATAGTCCAAGTGAAAGGTTTAATATTGCTAGGAGAAGACCCTACCAGTAGAGAATTAAGAGAGCTCCATTTAGAATCCCTACGTAGCCACAACCAAATTAAGTCCAACCCGCCTCCTTGAATTCCATTGATCCTTAACTAACTCCAAGCCGGTTCTGACCAGGAGTTCAGAAGATTCCTGCAGTATAAGCTTTTAGCAATGAATCCGTTTAATTGGAACAGTCTTAAATCGGTTGAATTTCTTTCCTATTTAGCGTATTCATTTAGGGTTTGCTGAGGCTGTGAGTTGAGTAAACCTCGGTCCCCGTGTGCTTTTTCCGTCCCTATCAACAGACATTATTTCCATTCAGGTTTATTTTTCTCCTGATGAAAATGATTTATAAAAATAAGTTTCCTGTGTTTCTTTAATGCCCCCTTGTGGTATCTTTTGAACTTTTTATTAAATTCACATGAACTAACTGCATGTAACCACTGGATTCCTCCTGCAGGTGTCAGGTCAGTGATGAACTAAGGTTCATTTAACGTCTAGATACAGTACATTATCATTCAAGAAGAAAAGTCCATTGTGGACTTTTGAGGAAGAAGTGATCGTTTTTTTTCTCAACTACGGCACTAATAAATTTTATATGTCAAGTAAGTATGTTACACCATCACATCTTCTTACAGCCTTTTGCGAGAAGTGGCCTGAGTTTAGATCTGAACTCTTGAACAGCTTAAACTTGGAGGGTTTTCTAGCATTTTCGACTCGGTGTTTAAATTTATTTATTTCTCTTTCACAGGAAATGATTATAGATATTGTATCACAACAGAATAACAGAATTGGAAGGGACGTTTGAGGTCTTCTCGTCCCACCCTCTGTTCAAGTATGAAAGCCGATACTATTTCAGACAAACAAGTTGTCCAATCTCCTTCCTGTGTTGGAGCACGCACAACTTCTAGAGGCAAGTTGTTCCACTGGTGAATTGTTCTCACTGTCAGGAAATTTCTTCCTAGTTTTAGCTTGATTCTCTCCTTGATTACTTTCCATCCGTTGCTTCTCCATCCTTTGGAGAATAGCTTGACTCCCTCTTCTTTGCAACAATTGTGTAACCATTTTGTGACTAAAGAACTTTGAAAGTCAATTCAAATCTTTATTTCGATCATAAACCAACGTAAAAATTTTTGGGGAAAAACGTAGGCCCTAGCAGGGGGAGAGCAAAAGCAAAAATGCACCTCAACACTGCAATGCCAATTCTGCCCCTTGTGCTTTTTCATGCAACACGGAATCACAAAAAACACCGAGGTTGCATGGTTGACATCACAAGTTTCATCCTCTTGGTGTCACCCTCGTTGGGAACAGATTGTGATGGGCTTTGTGATGCAAGAAAGGGACAGACAGATTCCCTTAAAATATTGCCCAAGCCTTATATTGCTTCAAGGTTTACACAATCCCTTCCCTCAAAGAGGAAACGCGTAGCTAAAAAATGATCCTTTGTATGATATTTGCTCTGACAAATTTATCTGCGGAGAAGAAGGCAATCGTTCCTCTCAGCCAAAAATAAATAAATCCATCCATCACTTACTCTGCTTGCCTCTTATGCATTCTGCAAGCTGATTTTCAGGAGTAGAAGTGAAGCTTTCTAATTTTTCAAAATGCAACAGAAAACATGACCTACGCTATGCTACCCTTATGCAAAATATAGGAAGTCGGTTTGTGTACAATTGGAAGTGTTAAACTCCCCATGTACAGTAATTTGGGACTATTTGTTCCTTTTGTTGCCAAGGAACCATTAATAACTTCTCATTTTATGCCCCCAAACCAAACAGGAACTGATATCAGTAGTTTTGTGAATTGAGTCTTTGTCTTTAAAACAAAAAAAAAATCGAGAGGACTAGAGCCTCATCTTAAAATGAAACTCCGGGCAGCTAACAGTCCCAAAATAAGATATAGATTATAAAACAATGAAAACACGAGAAATAAAAGCACAGGAACCAGTAAAACCAACACAGAAAAACCTGGGCCCACAATCAGCGGTCCCTGATGCCATCCTATCCCAAAATTTCTCAACCTTGGCAACTTTAAGATACGGGGCTTCAACTGCCAAATTCATTACTTCGTGTAGTACTAAATGATTGTTACTATTTTTGCACTCTCAAGAAACTTACGATGCCCGGTTGTAGCACTAACAATATTTTGCTTGCTTGCACAAGCTAAGCAAGACATTATGAAGAATGCAGCCTGGTTCTCTTCGGGGAAAGAGGGAAAAGTTTTGCAAAGAAAAAACTTCCAAACAATCTTCAGTGTCAGTTTATAGAGGAAGAAGCAAGCCTCCATCCAAGAAAAACTAAACTTGTTGACCGCACATTGTGCGTTGTACAGTGGAAAGGAGAAATACTTCTTAGGGAGCCAAGTTCCAGCACTTGAGATATTCTGCTTCTACCATATCTGATTTGCAAAACTCCCCGTGACCACTAGAAGGTACTAAAAGAATATAGAAAACTCGTGCTTCTGCCCTCTGGTGGTTAGCTAGAGTTTTGCAGTCCAAATCGGTTTGATCCTGATCCTCGACTTATAACCATTTGTTGAATGACTGTACAAAGTTAAAACAGCTCTGGGAAAAGTAACTTATGACCAGCCCTCAGTTAAGAACCATGGCAAAAATAGTCGTAAAATCAGACACGTCTCACTTAACAACTGCCTTGCTTAGCAATGGAAATTGCGGCCCCAGATGTGTCCGCTAGGGCTACTTGTAGTATCAAGATGACTGGAAATACGGCCCCCAGTTGTGGTCATAAATCAAGAACTACCTGTCTTCTTCAAGCTTGCTTTTTCATGGTAACACTGTTTAGAATAGAATAGAATAAAAGAGCTGGAGGGCACCTTGGAGGTCTTCTAGTCCAGCCCCTGCTTGAGCAGGGAACCCTAGACCATTTCAGAACGAATAGCCGTCCAATCTCTTCTTGGAAACCTCCAGTGATGAAACACCTACAGCTTCTAGTGTCAAGCTGTTCCACTGATTAATTGTTCTCCCAGTCAGGACATTTCTCCTTCGTTCTAGGTTGCTTCTCTCCTGGATGAGTTTCCACCCGGTGCTTCTTGTCCTGCCTTGGAGAATAGCTTGACTCCCTCTTCTTTGGGGCAGCCCCTCCAATATTGGAAGACTGCTATCATGTCTCCCCTGATCCTTCTTTTCATCAAACTAGACCTACCCAATTCCAGAAACCGTTCTTGATATGTTTTACCCTCCAGTCTCCGGTTGGACTTCAACTCTCAAGTGAAGTCCCACTGGGGTGGACAACAGTTGGTTTTAAGACCTCACCCCATCACTTACTGGATCTAAACCGAAATTGGTTTCTTGCAGGGATGAATCTTGCAATGACTAGGAAACAGATCAACCACCACCTCCGCCCCCTCCTTTTGCAGCTATGATTCTATATAAAGCACACTGGCACAGGAAATATATACAGCAGATCTATTTTTCCTGTTATTATGAGTCAGAATTTCTATCGCTTCAGCTGCATTATAGAAACCCTGAAGAAATGAAACCCTAATAGCATCTGCTAACTCTCCTTTTTTGTCCGGTGGTTGGGATTCTTCCTGTTGGGAGAAACCTGTGTGTCCTTTCTTTGCAAGCTAAACTTTGGAAGGATTCACTTCCTGAGACCTATTTAGCCATTCGATTTCTAGAAGCTGCCCATCTCAAACAAGTGATTCCGGACACTGAAGGGTCATAACTAGCCCTCACTCTGTGGAGTTCGAGAACAGCTGGACAAACGGAGCCTGTGCTAAGCAGAAGGTTGAAACCGAAGACCTCCAAAGTGCCTTCCATGCCTGTGGTTCTTGCGATGACCCAAAGGGGCGTGGCACCAAGGCAACCCAGTCAGATAATCAATAAGGATCCCTTTATTAGCTCCAACTTTGCCCCCAATGTCCTGGTTACCTTCTGGGCTGGAGAAAAACTCTCCCAGGAACAGCCTTTGGCTGCAGAGAATCAAGTCCAAAACATGGTCAACAAAAACTGTAACTATAAGTCCAATCAAGCCAAACTGAGGGAATTAGTTTGGCAGGGCAAGAGAAGGCATTCCAGACATGAAGGAACGGCAGGAATTCAACCCAGTTGGGAAGATGCCAGGAACACAGATAAGCAAAGTCAACACAAGATAAACTCACATTTGCTCCCAGAACCTGCCACACTCAGCACGCATCTCTTTTAAACTCTCTTATCATCTGTGGCTAAGGAAGGCTGTCATAATTTCCATCCATCACCCAAGATTGGGTTTCCTAGAGGAGATGGATGCCATGGTGTCCATAACAGATGGGTCATAGAATCATGGAATGGACCCAGGAGGTTCTTCTCATTCAACCTTCAGCTCCGCGCAGGAATACACAAGTGGCTACTTCTCAACTGTGGCAACTTTGAGATAAGTGGACTTCAACTCCCAGCCAGCATGGGTCAAAAACGTCCATAGGAACACACTGTTTCGCTTAATAATATCCTCATTCGCTTAGCAATTGTGGTAGTCACTTAACAACCACTACAAAGCAGTCACAAAATCAGGTCACATAAGTGTCAAGTTATGATCATCATGACTTAACGATGGAAATTCAACCAATGCTAACTAAAAGCCACCCAAATAATCTTGTCAGGAGTTAGATCAATAATACTAGCTACTGCCAATCCTGGCTCTTACGTTCTATCAACCCTTAGATACGAGTCCCAACCATCAATTCATAACTTAACATAGACTTTTAATATAAACAAATAAATAATTGGTTTTCACGTGACACCGAAACGGACTTACTTGATTTCGCTTTGACCTCCTGCTTTCCGGGCGATCTGAACCAACTCCTTCCCGTAACGTTCTTCAGCCTGGGCCCTGTTAAATAAAATCTCATTTATATTTGCAACTCAAACCATGTTGGGCTTCCATCTGTTTCTGAACTCCACCCTTCCGGTGGTATGTAATGAACAAATATGAGGATTGACTAGGCAAGGTCTCAAAAGCCATACAAGATGGCAAGGGAAGAACTTGATGATGGCCTGCTTGATAAGAAGGGTCACCTTCTTTGGAGGCCGTGGTGGGATGAAACAGAAGATGAACTGAACTTTCTCTGATGCCTTCTGCTTGATCCACATTATGTGCTCCTGTGAGCTTCAAACCCAGCTTTGCTCATGGGTAGGGTCTCCACTGCCTTTCCCACCATCTGTCCTGAGAGGGAAGGTTTGCATGAAATACAACTCCACAGTTGTGTCTCGGTAGATGCTGAAACCACCTAAGTTGTTTCTCTTCTGGGAAAACAGGTGCCACCTGGAAGGTTGAATATTTTTTTCCCCACCCAACTAGATTACTTCTCAAGAAGTCCCAACGTTTGTGATCTCAGCAGTTGGCTAAAAAAAATTCTAACCATCATCATCATCTAGAGATCCGAAGAGTGTGGATTGGAAGAAAGGAGACAGCTTACATTTTTCTCTCCTTGTTTGAAACCTTCTTCTGAGGGGAGATCCTTTGGTCTGGATCGAAAGCGATCTTCTGCTGCAAAGGGTGTCCTCCACCCTGGTCATCTCATCCCCATCCCCTCCCTCATCTAAGAGAGCCACTGGATCCAAAGCTCTTCAAAATTGCTCTGAGATGCCTCCTCCTCCTCCTCCTCCTCCTCCTCCTCCTTCCTCTCCACAACATTTCCAGCCCACTAAACTCCAAGATGAAGGCAGCTTTTCCATCGGGCCTCAGAAATCTTTACTCACGACTTCTAAAATAGCTCTGGTGAGGGGCAAATCCCAGGTCGCTTTAGACTTTGAGATGATTCATTTGTTTTCCATACACCCTGAATAAGTGATAATTTAGGCATAGACTTCTCCAAATCTGAAGACATCTGATGAACGCCTTCAAATTCGGCCCTTAAGCGGATATAACAGATTAACAGAGTTGGAAGGGACCTTGTAGGTCATCTAGTCCAACCCCCCACCCAAGCAGGAGACCTTACACCATTTCTGACAGATGACAGTCCAGTCTCTTCTTGAAAGCTTCCAGTGATGAACCTCCCACAACTTCTGAAGGCAACTTCTGTTCCATGGATTGATGGTTCTCACTGTCAGAAAATTTCTCCTTGTTTCTAGGTTAAATCTCTCCTTGTTCACTTTCCATCCATTATTCCTTGTCTGGCCTTCGGGTGCTTTAGAAAATAGCTTGACCCCCTTCCTCCTCTCTGGGGCAGCCCCTCAAATATTGGAAGATGCTATCCTGTCTCCCCTAGTCCTTCTCTTATATATATAGTCTTATAACCACAATCGGGGAACAGAATTTCTGGCTGTGTGATTAACAATGACTTGCTTAACAACGATGGCCAAAAAAGTCAAAATCCAGGCATGATTCACTTCAAAACCTCCTTGCTTAGCCGTGGAAATTCTGGTTCCCAGACCCATTGTGTAAATCAAGGACTATATTATAATATCGAGAATTGAGTTGATTGGAAAAACATCTGCCAGTATATGACAGCTGGCACCCAGTGTCCATACGGGTGACCATTCTTGGAAGTTTAAACCCCACCAAGGGAGGAGAACCAACTGTGGAATCTGACTGAGATCCATTTACGGACATATGAGCCAAACGCAACTTTCAGAGCCTTGACACAACTCCCTCTCCCACTGTTCCCCTCTCTCCTTCCCACGTTTCTCATTTACCTTTGCTTAATCAAATCTTCCATGTCTTTGCACATTTTCCTTCCATCCAGCAAACGCTGCAGGAGCACTTCGTATCCAGAGTGAAGAGTGAATTCTTTGCACTAGGGGAAAAAAAAAAATCAACCACAATGGACGATCCACCAGCTCTCGCCATTCTACCGCCTTCTCTTTCCTGCATTTCCAGGCTCCATTTGAGATGAGCAGAATCCTCCCTCCGCTCTGACTCACGCCCTTTTCCAACAAATCAAACACAGTCCAAAAGGAACAGAAACCTTTGAATGCTTCTGCAAAATAATTAGCTGTGATAAACACAAGCCTTGCCGAGCTGTGCGAGACGTCAAAAGATAACGGACAAGGAATAATTTGCAATACAAGAATCTTTAAATACAAACTCAGGATACTGGAATGTCCACGAGGTGGAGTTTCAAAACATCTTTGCCTTCTGCAAAGTACGTTCGTTCGTTTCACACCTGGCTTTTATCTGCTTGAAGGAGGGGCCATGACCTTGCAGCCTTACTCCCGAGTCATCCGTGCTGTTGTAGCTGCTCTTGCCTGCGAGCAATCCTGCACGCGCGCACACTTGGTACGGGCTCTTCGGCAACCTCCTCATCGCTGCTGCCAGCCCCCACAATCTCTGAAGGCAGCAGTCCACTCCCTGATGGTCCTGGCCCCTCATCTGAGTCCTCGCTCTCCTCAGCCATCCACACCTGCTGCTGGCTAACCACATCACCCTCAAAGACCTTCTTAGTCACTGCTGACCCCTCTGATCAATTCCAAGGGTCATTGGCTGTGTCCTTCTGATTTCTTCTAAGCCAATATTATCCAACCATGATTTTTCCCTAACTACCAAGTTTCCATCTTCGGATCTAAACATACCTACAAGCAACCACTTCAATTCCAAGTTGATTCAAGCTCCAGAGAATTGCATTAATACAACCATGGTGGCTCCAGAGTAGCCCTTCTCAACCTTGGCACCTTTAAGATGGGTGAGCTACAACTCCCAAGCATTCCCCAACCAAATATTTCCTAGCCACCATTCCAAGAAGGAACATTGGATCAATGAAAATCAGGTTTTGCCAAGAAGCACAAAAAGAAGACACACACACACACACACACACACACACACACACACTGAAAAAACCTACAGATGTGTTTGCCATCCAAACGTTGGCCTGCAAAAAAGCTGGAGCCTTCACCACCCGGAGGGTTGCGTGAGACTGCTTGCCCACGGACACAGCAAATGTGACTTCTTCACCCAACGGTCTTCAAGGCTGCTTTGGGCTGGTTGAGTCAGCAGCGTCAAGTCAAAGGATTGAACGACAGCCTTTTTCCAGGGGAAGAGTCATCCTCATTTTTGGGGATTCAGGGACGTGCAAAGCTGCCTTCTTCTGAGTCGGGCATGTCATTCACCTAGACCAGGGGTTTCCAACCTTGGCAACTTTAAGACTTGTGGACTTTAGCTCCCAGAATTCTCCAGCCGGCTGGAGAATTCTGGGAGTTAAAGTCCACAAGTCTTAAAGTTGCCAAGGTTGAAGACCTCTGACCCAGACCTTTCTGGATCTCTGGACTTCCTCTCCAGGGGAAGAGGTCTGGCCAAGTGGTTTTCTCAGCACCTTCAGGAGATCAATGTCTACATCTGGGGTTCTCTGCTGATCCCATGTTTAAAATCACAGGGTTCTACCAGCCTCCTCCTCCAGCCATGCCTACAAGCCACTCCACTGGAAACTATAACTATAAGACCTTTTGCATCCAAATGGGGAGAAATGAGTCACGTAGATGTGCATTACAGTTTCATATTTTATCATATATATATATTTTTCATACATTTCAATAGACAGTATGTACAGCCCCAACAGGACGGACAATTTCTGAACCCATGAGGTAATTTTTTAATACCTCCGGAGTATCGCTTTACCAATATTGACAGTGTGATTATGTCTATGCAGGTATCAGATGTCAAGTTCAACTCAGATTCGTCTTCCCTTTGGCTTTGGGCTTCCGAAGATAGTTTGATAGATAGTGCTGGAGAGAGAAAGAGAGAGAAAGAGAGAGCGGGAGGGGAGGAAAGATGGATGGATGGATGGATGGATGGATGGATGGATGGGAAAGAGGATAAGATGAGAGAAGATCATAAATATTGGATGGATGGATGGATGGATGGATGGATGGATGGGAAAGGAGATACAAGATGAAAGAAGATAGTCGGATGGATGGATGGGTAGGTGGGTGGGTGGGTGGGTGGATGGACAGATGGATGGATGGATGTGAAAGAGGATACAAGATGACAAGATGATAGCTA